ATTCTGTCCATGAAAGTAATGAACAGAATCGGTGACAAAGGGCAGCCTTGGCGGAGTCCAACTCTCACCGGAAACGAGCCAGACTTACTGCCGGTAACTTTTAAACACTTACAGATAAAATCGGTCGCAGTGACAGAAGCTCGGCGCCTCCCCAGTCGCTGCAGTCCAGGTAATCCCCTTCCTCCAGGATGTGCTGCTGACCCTCGAACCCAGGCTGGCTGTAACCCACCCAGCTGGAGGAAGCAAAATGATACATTGACTTGAACTACATCGCATAAAACCAGCAAAAAAAAAAAAAACATTCAACTTTATGTTGCGTAACGAAAGGAAAAGAAAAGCGAGAAGAGCACTCACAAGCCTCCGATAATCTTTAATGATCCAACAGACTTTAGTCTATTTGCATCGAGGCTCGCTCCGTCAGCAGCGATGCCACCGTCAGCCTCGCAGAAGCTAAAAACATCACTGTCGAGTTCCAAAAAGGAGCCCTCGAAGCCAGGTTTCTGATAAACAACAGCCTGAGAGACAAGAAAAACACAAAATCAAAACAGGACTTCTTTACCGACAATCAATCCAACATAGATGTTTGCACAAGTACAAGTTTATTTTTTACTAATAACAGCTACACACAAACACAAAGAATGTGTAGAACATACATCTTTAGGGAGATTAGCTTAAGAATCAGAGTTTTCACCTTGTTCTACAGTTCAACAAAACAAAAGAGGCCATTTAATCCACGTCTGCTTCTCTGCAGCTAATTTTTAAAATCTCTTGCTGTAAGGCAGAAATAGTTYTGTCTTGCAGAAAAATAAACACGTCTGGACTAAAAACAGCAATTGTCACACCGGAAGGCTTTTAATAAAACATGTTTATAACACTTAAAGTGCCCGTGTTATCAATTTTTTTGCAATAAATATGAGTGCATTTTTTGGAAAGATTGCATTGATAACATATGGCTTATAAAACTTCATGCCGCTGAGATGAACAGTTGTTGAGATATTTGCATGTGAAGTAACAGGAAGTGATGTCACAGGGGAATAAGATTTGCTACAATGGCTGACAAAGAGTTAGAGGAGAATCTGATACTTTTTTTAGATTATTTTGAGTCACTATCAGATTAAGAGTCAGAGATCGAAAAAGATTGTTTTAATGAACAAAATCACGTTTTTAAAGAGTTCCCCTTTGATGTCACTTCCTGTTTCACTTAAACAGAAAATATTATGTGACAAAAAGGGTAAAATCGTGTGTATTATGTCAAGTTTCTTAAAGATAAACATGTTTTCTTTGACTCTTTGAAGGATAGGTCACAGGAACTTTAAGAACTACAATCTATTATTTGGTATTTTATTTATTTGGTATTAATATTTTATATTGCTATTAATGTATGTTTTATATTAATGTCAAAAACAGAACATTTGTTAGCACTGAGTGAACTTTTCATACCTTGACTTCATTGGGATTCTCCACTTTGAATCCACCCTGGAACAGAAACATTAATCCTATTTACCACTTCCCTCCAAATAAATGCACACCAGTAATCAGTATAAATACTCCATGTAAAGTAAAGTGTCAGTAATACCATAAATACTCTACTTAGGGCGAGCAGTTTGCATAAAAACAACTTAAATGGACATGCATTAGGATCTCTGTCATCCAGAGAGTCTCTGTACAAAGCAGCAAATCTGAAGGTTTTTAACACAATAAAAATAAATAAATAAATAAATAAATAAATAAATCTGAGTGGAAAGAAGAGCAGCAATCTAAAAGCTGAAACTGCTAATTAACCCGACGGAGACAGCGCTCCCGTGCTTTCGTTCAGCATGGTGTCATTGACACTGTAGCGCAGCGTCTCTGTCTAATTAACACTAAACACAACATTCAGCAGTAAATGATGCAAATATTAGTTTTTCCTTTGATATAAAACCAGCAGCACAACAACCAGAGTAATCAGCTGAAGGTGCGTGTGTCAGATATCGCAGCGATCCTCGAGGTCTTTCTCGTGCAGCTGATTTATTTCACGTTATTTTCACTTTCCTTTGTACTAAATGTGACCTAGAAACCAACCTTGGTGTGATGCCTGTAATCATTTTGTTAGATAATAAAATGCAAAGTGACGAGCCTTGTTGGGAGGAGCAACACGAACAGTATGGTACGTTTAAAGGCTGGGATTTATTTTGTGCCATGCAGTAAGTGGAATAAAACACATACAAGCAAATACAAACAATGTGATAATGAAACTACATGAYGCAGCTTTCACAATAATGACTGTTTGTTGCCATAGTTTTTACTCACCACTTTAGTAGAAGATTGAAAACAAAGCAAAAAAAAAAAAAGAATCATTGAATTTTAGTTTGCTAAATTATCCTTAAATGCACACCAACAACCTGTAAATCCAAACCTGTGACCAACATAGTCTATTCTATGACGTGCTTTGATGCTGCGCATTAATATTCACCATTTTTAGTGGTCTGAGAGATCCCACGAAGGGCGAATCGAAGCCCCAAGCCTCAGGAAAGGGATATTCTCCTTTATCTAGAACAGCGACCATGCCTTCAAACCCGGGGTCACTGAACAGCAGCCACCTGAGGGACGCAGAGCAGAAATAATTCAAGTTAATTACTTATTTTAAAATTATTATTATTAGTTTTATTATTTCATTTATTCATTTCATTAAAACAATACAAATCAAAATAAAATGAAAGGCAGCAGAAGGTCTTTTAKGTCAGAAGGTCATTTTAAAGGGGCGATATTATGTGCTTTCCAAGCCTATATTTCAATTTTATACCAAAATAAAGTAACTATGTCACATTTTCAGCTTATGAAAGAGCTATATATTTGTAAAAATCCCCAAAACAATTTACTTCTCATCTTGACAGTGTCTAAACGCCTTGAAATAGGTCTCTGTCTCTTTAAGAAAATCCAACCACTTCGGTCACGCCCATTTCAGCACGTAGCCTGCTGGAGTCGTGGGCTGTGTCCAAAACG